AGAGGAAGGGATGGAAGCAGAAAGGAGAAGAGAGAAAGGTATGGAAACACAAAGGAGAATAGAGGAAGGGATGGAAGCAGAAAGGAGAAGAGAGAAAGGGATGGGAACACACAGGAGAATAGAGGAAGGGATGGAAGCAGAAAGGAGAAGAGAGAAAGGTATGGAAACACACAGGAGAAGAGAGGAAGGGATGGAAGCAGAAAGGAGAAGAGAGAAAGGGATGGAAACACACAGGAGAAGAGAGGAAGGGATGGAAGCAGAAAGGAGAAGAGAGAAAGGGATGGGAACACAAAGGAGAATCAACTGGCACCTCCCAACACAGGGCCAGACTTTGAAGCTATGTCTTGTCTCTCTCTCTTCCCTCCCCAGCCGTCCTCCTCGGCGGTGCCCTGCCAGCGAACCAGCTCCTCCGCCATCTATATGAACCTCGCCTCCCACATCCAGCCCGTGGCGGTGAACAGGGTGGCGTCCCCGCTGCCCAGCCCCAGCGCCATGAACGAGGCTGCCAATTCCCAGGCCGCCGCCAAGCTTGCCCTGCGCAAGCAGCTGGAAAAGACTCTCTTGGAGATCCCTCCCCCCAAGCCCCCCGCCCCCTTGCTCCACTTCCTGCCCAGCGCGGCCAACAGCGAGTTCATCTACATGGTGGGACTAGAAGAAGTGGTCCAGAGCGTGATTGACAGCCAAGGTAAAGGATGCAGGACGGTTGGGGGGAGGGGGGGGAGGGAGGGATCACAGTTAACCAAATCCGAATCGGAAAAGTCCCCGATGATAATTTTGGCTCCCCGGCGATCATTTGTGGGGCGCTGCAGGAGGAAATCCAGCTGTCCTCCCAGTTTTTCTCCCTGGGTTGACTCCCTGCTAGCATTTCATTAGAGCTAATTTTGTCTAGTGGTGAAGGCACCAAGCTGGAAATCAGACTGTGAGTTCTAGTCCTGCCTTAGGCGTGAAATCCAGCTGGGTGACTTTTGGGCCAATCACCAGGAGACGGGGAGTTCTAGTCCCGCCTTAAGGCACAAAAGCTGATTGGGTGACTTTGGGCCAATCACCAAGAGACGGGGAGTTCTAGTCCTGCCTTAGGCATGAAAGCCGGCTGGGTGACTTTGGGCCAATCACTAGGAGGCTGTGAGTTCTAGTCCTGCGTCAGGCACAAAAAAAAACCCAGCTGGATGACTTTGGGCCCGTCCCTCCCTCTCAGCCCAGTCCACCTTGCAGGGTTATTTCTGCAGGGAATAATAGCAGGAGAAAGGAGAAGTGGCTATGTCTGCCACCTTGAGTTATTAATAAATAATAATAATAAAGGCGGGACAACAATAATAAGGTAAAAGATCAAGGTTCCCCCTTGCACATGCGTGCTACTCGTTCCTGGCTCTAGGGGGCGGTGCTCACCTCCGTTACAAAGCCAAAGAAACGACACTGTCCGAAGTTGTCTCCGTGGTCATGTGGCCGGCAGGACTAAACGCCTTTGAAGGCGCACGGAACGCCGTTCCCTTCCCACCAAAGGGGTCCCTATTTTTTCTACTTGCATTTTTTACGTACTTTTCGAACTGCTCGGTTGGCAGAAGCTGGGACAAGTGACGGGAGCTTCCTCCGTCACGCGACGCTAGGGATTCGAACCTCTGAACTGCCCACCTCTCTGATCGACAAGCTCAGCGCCTCAGCCGCTCAATTGCTTTCCTTGGATAATCGGGGCTAATCCTCTTCCTCCCCCTCCTTCCCACTCACCCCCCCCAACCCCTCCCCTCAGGCAAAGGCTGCTCCTCCCTCCTCCGAGTGGAGCCCTTCATCTGCGCGCAGTGCCGCACGGATTTCACCCCCCACTGGAAGCAGGAGAAGAACGGCAAAATCCTGTGCGAGCAGTGCATGACCTCCAACCAGAAGAAGGCGCTCAAGGCCGAGCACACCAACCGGCTGAAGAATGCCTTCGTCAAAGCCTTGCAGCAGGAACAGGCAGGTCGAGGGACTCCCGGGGGGGGGGGGGGGGGAGAGGCGCTCCCGGGGAGGGAACGGGGATGCCCGACGTGGGGCTGTCGCTGCCAGGACTGCGACGGTCTCCCTCCCGTCTTCCCCAGGAGATCGAGCAGCGGCTGCAGCAGCAGGCCACCCTCTCGCCCACCACGGCTCCGGCCAGCGTGGCCAGTGTCAGCAAGCAGGAGAGCATCATGAGGCATCACACACTCCGACAGGTGAGGCCCTTTGCCCAGCGTGGTTCTGCCGCCCTCTGCCTGCCGCCAGTTCCCTGGCCCAGATGCTCCTTCAGTTCGAAATGGTGTTCGGCTTAAGGGTTGCCCCCACAGCCACTCTTGGCTTCCCTGCTTTCCTTCCTTCCTTTCCTTCTCCTTTCAGTCCTTCTCTCCCTCCCTCCTTTCCTTCCTTGCTTTTTCTTCTCTGCCTCCCTCCCTTTCTCCCTCCCTCCCTTCTTCCATTCTTTCTTTCCTTCCCTCACTCCTATTTTCCTTCCTTCTTCTTTCCTCCCTCGCCTCCCGCCTACCTTCTTTCTTTCCCTCCCTCCCTTTTCTTCCTTTCCTTCTTTCTTTTTTTCCTTCCTTCCTTCCTTCCT